TATTATTATTATTATTCTAAACATCCATCTTATTGAGAAATGCCAAATTTATTAATAATATCCTAACATCCATTTATTATTACATCAATGTTTTTTGAGACACAAAGCAATATAAAGGTAGACGCCCGTGCTACATAGAGATCTTGCTCGAACTCAATCAGATTCAACGGGCATATTGTTAATTTGAACAACCAGTGGACTGGTAACCTGATGACACCCGTCGCACCAAGTAATGGAGCCGAACTCATATCTAGCTCGAGATACTATGAGTGGCGTTAGTGTCACGTAATAAGTTTTTTCTTGATTCAGTGATGAAAATGTTAGGGTCGTGGGCCGAACCACAACCTGAACCCCATTCGGTTTGACGATGCTAACGTTGTATGTGGTGGGGTTCTTTTGTCCAACGTTGCGAACGGTTCTTTTGACGGTTGTGCTGTTTTTAAGGCCTGGAAGGGTGATTGATGGGTAGTTGAGGTTATAATCAGGCACGCGACTCGGATCATTGCAACTCGGGCATACACTGGGTGGTCGACAACTTGCAATGGCTTGTATTTGTTTTCTAGAGTAACCGTTGTTGCATAGAAAAAACACGTAATCTTGAGCTTTCATATCATAGACTAGACCAGGGTTGAATGCCTCGAGCGGGTTAATATGCCCAGCACCAATGTCCAAGAAGTTTGCAGTATTTGTTGTCATTCGTGCTAATATGCCATCGCCATTTATGTCTATATTAGAAGCTGTCAGCACAAAAACGGAATTAGCAAAATGTGCTATGTAGTGTAATCTATCTACTATATAATTAAACGACACACTTACTAAATTTAGTAAGTTATTGGTGGGTCCTACAAGTTATTTCCATTTATAGGAAGTTCATTTTTCAAGTAACACGTGTACATAAAATTGAAACCATGAAATATGTTAATTTGAAAATTTTCATTTAATTATACTTTTCAGTTATCATGTGATATTTTTTATGTAAAATTGAACTAATTATTTCATAAATTTTATATCACCCCTATATATAATTTCCGAATTCGTTGAGCCTACGTGGCTGTTTCTGGTGCTTCGAAATCCTACTTGGCGAAGAATCA